TATTTTTTTTTTCCTCATATCAGAATATTATTGCAGGCCATCCAATGTTGACCATCCCCGCTATAAGTAGTGTAGTGGTTCCCATAGCTGATTATATTATGCAGCTGGCATAGTGCCCACTCAAGGCACTTTTCCCAATCGACCTGTGAAGAGATGATCAGATAAGTACAGGGCGTAGTCTGCCTTTCACCCAAGGTACATAGATACCGACTCTCAAGAGGTTAACCGATTTTTAAATGGTGAGAGGATGTTTGCTGTAGTACCAAGTCTTGCCTGTGAGAGGCAGCGTGTTGCCACAGCATCTGGACTGCCGGAAAGAACAAAGAAGAGCAACTTAAAGAAGCTAAGCTAACTGGTATTATCTGGTAACTAGTTAGCTGATGTCAGCCCTACACTAATTTTGATCACAAGGGAGGAAAAATTCAAATGTTTGGCATGCTTGGTGGTATGTGTCTCTAATGTTGATTTTATCAGGGGGTCTAACGTGCACCACTAGTTCAGTGATGTGGCATATGTACAGAATAGTGAGTAATATTCAAATCATAGCTTTTGCAACTTTACTGTGTGTGTGTGTGTGTGTGTGTGTGTGTGTGTGTGTGTGTGTGTGTGTGTGTGTGTGTGTGTGAGAGAGAGAGAGAGAGAGAGAGAGAGAATAGAATGGTCATTAGTGTCTGCTTACACCAGAGAGCCTGGCCAGCTGGTCTATGACGTCTGATGTGCCACTTGGTGGTAAACTACATCAAGACCCCCGTGGCAGAGTCACTGAGGCCCAGCAACTCTTCTCCCCAGGCAGGATGCAGAGGCTATGGCGAGCCCTCGGCAGATGGAGCCTCCAGCGTTTCTGCTCTCCTGCAAATATTAAAAAAAAAAAAAAAAAAAAAAAGAAAAAGAGAGCGAGAGTTGGAGCAAGCGCCAGAGATGAGACACGGCCCGCCTCAGCCCATCACAGATGCCAGGAGAAGGCAGGGATTTTGTCGAGCCCCCCTGCGAGACGGGTCCAGTTGGAACAGGTGCAGTGTCGTCTCCCTCGGTCCCTTTGTCAGCACCTCAGTGGTGGAGCCTTTGCTCTCTTCCTGTCCCGACTCCTTCTCATTCACACACTTGAGAGGTGTTGCGGGACTACTTCCAGCCCCTCCTGAAAGCCAGCCGCAGATCTGTCCATGCATCCTCATTTCTAAAGGCCAGATCCACCCCCAGCGTGGCATTGTGTTCTTCCTTCAACAGGAAAAAATATTCAAGCAGAAGTGAGAGTTTCCGACCTACACGGGTCAAACAGTTGAGTTGTGTTGCCCTCCTCTGCCTCTCCGAGATACAAGGTCCATGCAGTATACCACGCAGGCGGCAGCCAGCGCCCTGTGTGATGGAAAGGGTTTACGACAGGCGGCGAGGCCCGACGGGCCACCTTGACCTCTCTGCGCGCCGAGGACCTTGGTGAGCCTGGTCCCGTTGGCCCCCGGAACCCCACCCCTGCGCCCCCACCCCCAACCATTTTCTCCCACCTCTGAGTTATTATCATAATTTCCCAGAGAGTCATTGCAGGGCTTCCACAAGCAGAGAGGCATCTGTGTTTTACAGAATGTTTGGTGTTTTATTGCCTTGATGTCATTCCTAGGCCAGCGCAAAGGGGCCCTCCAATGATAAGAAAAGCAGCCATGTGAAAAATGAAGGCCCTGGCATACGGGACTGAGAGGTGAAAAAGGAAAATAATAAAATACAAGACAAATGTGGAGCTCCACTATATTTCATGGTCAAACCTTTGTCTCTCCTACCTGCTGCCACTAAAAAACAAAGGGGGAGAGGGCGATCATATACATGAAATCAGATGATTACATTACAGTATAACAAAAACAAAGAACAGTTGCTTTTTTTTTTCTTGGGAGTTTGTGCTGTGGACCTGTCAGGTGTTAATTTCACAACTGTGTTTATTATTGCAGTTGTAGTTTGTGGTTGTATGGAAATGTAAAAGCAGGTGTCATCATTCTGAGTGCTGTTGTGGATATTTACAATACAATATAGGTAAATAGGCTACATAGGGTTTAAAAGTGTCATCCAAAAGTGAGTACTGTATCGGATTTTTTTTGTAGAATTTGTTCCTGCATCAGATTACAGTGATGTACCTAATGTAAAGAATCAAAATCTATTCTGATGACATTTTCTTGGCTACGTGTTGACAATCAATGTCCTCATTAATCCTAGCTGGTTCCTAATAATGAACTAAAAATTTCAAAGGAAATAAATTTCAACAAAATGAGGTCACTCAACTAAATATTTTAAGTTTTGTTGTTGTAAAAATCTGTTTTCCAGCATTTCACTAGTGTCCCTTGTATTGTGCCCGCCCCAACTAAAAAGAAAAACAACTTGTTTGCTTTGTTGTCCTAGAATTGTTGCTACAAATATCAATAATTTAGTTTTTTTTTCAGTTGTTCAAACTTACTGTTTAGCCCCTAAAAAAATACAAGTTCATTTTTTACAGTGTCTTCTTCCTCATAATTCACATTGAGCCTCCTTAATTTTACAGTATGAACAAAGGGTTGACATCCTAAAGCTTGCATTCTTGGCTTTTTTAGACCTCTAATCACGCCTTCATGACAGACTGGTGCTTTGGCCGGTTCCGAGCGCCTGAGTGATGTCCTGCTGGCCGCTTCGCTGACTGGGGGGGGGGACTTGTGACCAGCGCGTGGCCCTTGATGGAATAGTACTGGTCCTAATATTGCACACGCTTTAGCATGTCTGTCTTCACCCCTCACTCTGTATCTGAGAGGCCCCAACAATCACTAAATCTCCCCCATTTTCTTTAATTACAGAACAGCATATTGCTTTTGGCCCATATGGGAGATATTGAGAGCAGATAAGATAAATAAACTTCTGTCAACACCAGAGCATATGAAGCAGAGCTCAAAGCATATCAACTCCATTGCAGCCATCCAATTAGCACTCAGTCTCAAAAAATGTGAGCAATAGCTATCATAAGAGGAAGTAAAACAAAAAATATGAGAAGTGATATGAGGCTTTGTTGGGGTTTTTTTTAGGTCATATCAGTTCCATCAAGAACCTAATAGATGTGATGGTCAAAATGCATGAGAAATGACTGTATGTGGACGAAACCTGAGCTCATCTTAGATGGGGATTACATTTAAATATGGATAAAAGTGCAATAATAAAAATGGTGTAATAATAATAATTGACAACACATATAGCTTGACGTGGCTACAAATAGTACAAAAATTCATCTGTTCCACTTAGTAGTAAGCCATTCCTGATTTACTTTTTGTTGGTTTATTTGTGGGGCTTTCTAGCAGAATGCTGAACATTTTGCGGTAACAATGGCTGCTATTTTGAACGGTTCCTGATTTATACAATTCCCAAACACGTGGGGAAAAGATGTTATGAGAAGCTCTTCCTCGCTTTATTTGAAACAGTTGACTGTAATTTTGGGGGGAACAACAGAAGCCACGCATTGGGACATTGAGAGCGTTTCCAGCAATAACGACACCATTATTTTAATAGAAATATGACAGGCGGAAAAAAAAAAGACAACTAATGACAGCGTAAACTACTATGTGTGGTCTGTCTGCTACCACGCGGTGATCAACATGGCCTCAGCCTCACTTCACCTACAAGTGACACCGTGTTCATCCGAAAGCTTTTGCCTTAACTGCCGTCTCCCTCAGAAGAAATATTGTTGTTTTGATGTGATTGAATTCACCGCACCCAGACAAGAGGAGGTCATTCCGAGTTCTGCCGCAGCATCCCAATACACTGTAGATAATAAGCAACATGGGGAGAATAAAGGAGAGCATCAGGATGAGGCAGGAGAGAGGTCACTTTGAGAACCTGGATGAGAGCACATGCCAAACAGCATCTCTCCATCCTCCACTACCCCCCCCCCCCCACCCTTTTCCTCTCTATAATCCC